TACACAGAGCAGACACCCAAGGCAACCGAAACAAGTAAAAGGCGACATGGACAGCACAGAGGAAGAACATTTGGAAGGAAGGGAAGGAAGGGACTAGAAAAGGATGGAGAAGACAAAGGATGACACATTTGGGGCACTTTCAGGAAATTAGAATGACTGAAATGTACACTTCAGCAGGGTTCACAATGAGGCCAGAGAGATTCGCAGGAATGCATCATGAAGAACCCTGGATGCCACACTGAACAATCTGTACTGTATCCAAAAGGAAAGAGAGAGCCAAAGAAGGACTTGGTCAGAAGACTGGCAGTGTCGGATTAAAAGCTATCGCTCCTGGCAAACGGATAACAAGCATGTGTGCAGGGAATGGAGGAGATACTGGCAAGGTGAGGAAGGAGTGACAGGCGCAAGCTCAGAGCAAGGAGATGGCTTAGGAAGTGGTCCCAGTCATTTAGGAAGAGATTATGGAAGTATATCTGAGAGGGATAATGGAGTTGAAGAGAAATATATGTATTTAGGTTTCCTTTAGAGCCAGAATTTAAAAGATGTGGTAGATAATTTTGATGTGAGCTAATTTTGGTCAGACTATAGAAAATGAGGAAAACAAAGGACCTAAAAGTGTCTCTTTAAATTTATGGTTTGGTGAGCTGAGTGTATGGTTGTGCTACTTACTGAGACAGAGAACACAGATCTGAGAAGTTTGTAACACACTGAGTATGAAGTACCAATGGGTCATACATAAGAAGAAATTCAGGAGGCAGGTGGGTATATTTTGGATAGAGATGCAAATTCATGGACCACCAGCACAGGAGAGAATGAGATTTACTAGAGAAAGAAGATTTAAAAAGCTGAGAAAAATCAACAAGAATGAAGCGTAGAGAGGAGGGAAGGAAAGAGAATAGAGCTGAGGACAGACCACAGAGAACACTGACAATTAAAGAAATGGCAGAACGCAGCTATAAAGAAGAAGAATCTCGTCCCCTTTGGGACAGTATGGATGGACTTGGAGAATATTATGCTAAGTGAAATAAG